CTTATCATCAGCAAGCACAGAGTATGCGTACGTGTGAAGTCACGTTCAATGCTATGCTTTAGTGAACTTTGTAACAAAACATTTCTTTCATTCTCCAATTGGCTTATTTATTAACATTTTAAATTTAACCACTTAACACATTATGGTCAATACGAATTTTTTCAATGAATTTTTTTATGATATAACAAATCCAACCAATTTTTATTTGATAATTGATATATTTTATAATAATTTAATATTTATAATAAAATATTTTACAATAATTTATGTTTTTTAATCACAAAAAACGATTTTTATTCATATTTGATATTTAGAATCGATCAAATTTTAAATTTATTATGCATTTTTTTTAAAAATTCACAAAGATAATATTTATTTCTTCGTCGCGGATAAATTTAAAAAAAAAATTTAGTATGATAATTAATTATGCTAATCAATAATAAATTTACAAAATAAGCATAGACCAGTGCAATACCCAACTAAAGATTTTAATTAACCCACTTCAATTGCATAAATGCCGCCTCTACGCTCGGTTCATTTTTAACGAGTCGCGCGATGATTGCTAGTGGTAGGATTCTTGCGAAGGGGAATTAAATCGAGCTGTTGATGTCTGTGTTCTTTGTTAGATATCATAATGTTCTCTAATTTCATTATTTTCCTACTCTTTTCATTCACTTAAAATTTTCATAATAGTTAGTCAGATTATCAGTATCATACATGTCTCTTATCTCTTTAATTAACCACAAAATTTAGGACGCTTATTTGTTTAGAATAGAAATTTAGAAAATAACAGTATAATAATAATATATGTGAGGCTACATTCTACGCAAGTGCACATTTTTTATTTATTTATTTTTTTAATTCTTTTTCAGAGAACAATTTCTCTCCTTCAGTATTCATTTCTGCTACATTGTCAAGGACGCGCAATTTTTCTTTTTTTTTCTTTTTTGTCCTTTTATTAGGTATAATTACAGTATAATACATTAGGTATAATTACAGGTATAATTACAGTAATTAGTTGCAATCAGTTGATCACGTGATCAAACAAATAAAGATCGCATAATTTTTTTTGGATGGAGCAATTAGAAGACAATCTTCTTTTGCGATTATTTTCGTACAAGAATTTACACGAAAAACGCTGAGTATTTAAAAAAAACTTTTAAAAAGTACCTCATTATTTCTAATAATATACACAGATTATTTTTTGCTATTTTTGATTCTATCGTGACGATAACATGATGATAACGTCGTGATGATGACATTTCGTGGACACATTGCTTTATATTAATAGCACTGAAACATACAACAAGCAATATTCTCTGTGTATATATATTCTTCATTTGTGTATATATCTTTCATCAAGTAGACAAAAAGAAAAGACAAATTGCTCGAAATTAATGTTGAGCGAAAAATTATAGATACAGCTTCCGACAAATGCATCCCATAATAACATTTGTACTTTTGTGTCTCACAGTTAAAGTATAGGCACGTAATCTTAGAAGCATGTCGAGAATCCAGAATCAGTCCTTGTATCACTCCCTAGTCACAATAATTTGTTGGTAATATGTATATATGTATACACGTGCAAATATAAAATTCAATGCTTTATCCAATAGCTTGCACGCCATATGGTACAACCACATGGAATTATAAATATTTCTCGCAGGTAAGTATAAATTTCGCGTATTGATCATATATATCTTTCATTCCTTCGAACTCACGAGTTATTAATGATTTATGAAAAAATTTTGCGATAATAGCTTATCAGTAATATCTACTTTCACGGATATATTCGTGAATTTTCAATTTTTATTATAAAATTCGAATATTATGTATTAAACGATAAATATTAGTCCAAATTATAAATAAATAAATTTAATAAATAAATAATAAATGATTTCATAAATAAATTTTATGAAATCATTGATTTTATTTTTAAAACTGATAAAGAGCATAATAAGAATGTTTAAATAATCGAATATAAAAAATAAGTTTTATAAAGTTTTTATTTTATTTTCTTTGTCCTTAAGGCTTCATACTTTCCATTCTAATGATTAAGTAAGCTAAATAAAATTGATTAAAGAATAGAATTGATATAAATACGTTAATTGATAGAATTCGTTAATCAATTATCAGTTCCAACTACATAAATGTATAATATATTCTCATCTACAAAATTCGACTTTTATCGATTCGTTTAATTAAACCTTTTCGAAATGACACTTGTATAAATTAGAATACATTGCAAACCTATCAATTAAAATAACTGTTCAATTTATAATTTATTTAAACGTTCATTCGGATTATTTTTTTCGAATGCAATCCAAAATATATTAATTATTTCTATTGATTTTCTATACGATTAATTTATTTAACAAAAGATTCGTGGCATGAAAAAGATTACTTTTTTCGACAATATATAGATAGAATATTTTAATATCTATTATGAATTATAGAAATTATGAAAGGTACAATTGTAAACTAGAATTAAATTTATAAATCGATTAATATTAATATCGTACAGAGAGGATTTTTTGATCCTCAGTTACAGTTTACAGTTTTTTGGTGTACATTCAATATTCAATGAACGACTATTGAAAATAATAAAATTCAAGAATATTTAGATCACGGATATGTTATTTAATGTACGTTAAGAATATTTATGTGTTAGAGAATATCGTTGTAAAAGAGAGTCCGGGTCGATGGAAACGTGCTACTCGAGAATGGTTGGCAGGCGTGTCCCTCCCGCCAACGAAAATAAGTGTTTCACGGTTAAACAGGATATATTACGTAGTGTTATGTAACGATCATCCTTTAGAGAGATAATTCAAATCGCATCCCTTATTATTTCAATATTGTTTAAATATTATCTTATTTTTTTAGGTATTAGGTATATCAGTTCAAGGGGAAATTTACAGAATTGTAGAGCTTCCTCAAGGTTGAATTAATAAATGATTGATAATATCATAATAATAGAAGAATTTGATTTTTGAAAATCTTATTTGAAAATTAAATAAAAGAATTCGATTTGTTTGCTGTAATTGAATAATAAATTCAATATAATAGTATCGTTAAGTTAAAAAAAATGTATTTATTGATATTCATATTATTATGATTCGCAATATATTAAATTTATTTATAACATTAATTTATAATTTTTAATTACTCAAATCTCTTAGAATTTTTATTGATGCTCACTATGTAATCAATTTAGGTTCTATTATAATTCAACTATTTTTCATTCAAATAATACGCAATATCAGTTGGATGAACCCGAATACAACTGTACAGCAGACGCAATATCGAAAACGATCCGCGGATCGCGGCGAATCCTTCAAGCGTATTTTGCTTTTTTCAATTCGTGCATCGGTCGAACCATTATTTGTGTATTACAACAAACAGAATCCTTCTCGTAACCTATATTTCTAATTGTGTGTCCAAAATCACCAAATTTATAAATTTTAGATCCTGTCGACTTTTTTCATTATTTTTCGCTCATTAAAAAACAAGAAAAAAATAGGAAATAAGGAAAATTGTCGACATATACTTTTAGAAAATAAAAAATAAAAAAAGAAAGAATACTATGGAAACGTGAACAGTGATAAACATTAGAAATAGTGGTCGAAGCTCGAAACGCCGCAAACATGCCTATATCTGCATCCGCAGAAAGGTTAGCAGCGTCGCGACGCTGGCTCGACATAGTGGCGCCGACTACGCGAATATAGTGAGACGACTAACAGTTGAAAGGGGAAGAAAGACGCACGATCGAGAAAGACGCCCCCTTAACGCGCGTGGTGCAGCAAGGAGTGGGAGATAGCAAAGAAGAAGAGAAAAGCGTTGTGGAAAAACGAGAAAATCTCGCACCTCAGGATAAGATAATGGAAATTTAACGCAAGAAATCCTCTATAGAATGAGAATAATGTTTTGAAAATAATATGAAAATTATCATGCAGGAATTAATTAATCATATTATTGTTTTTTAACAAAATAAAATATCAAATGTTTCGATGAATTTTATATTAAAGCGAATATTTAAGGATATCGAAGAGATCAGCATATTAATGTTGCATAGGCAGATGATTTAAAAAATAAAATTTTGAAACATTAAATTAAGAACAATTTTAAAATTATTAGAATCAATTTGAATATTTATTCTAGATCAATGAAATTCTTGCAAAGAATAGAAAATAATTTAAAATGTGATAGGTTTTAAATGATTGAAATATTATCATGAATATGGAAGGATAAGAGAGAGCATGATTTTCGTTACGATTGAAAATGCATTTCGAAAATGTATGCACCTGAGGGATATCATCAAAGAGAAACGGTGACTGAATGGAGACAAAAACCCTTAGGTACAAGAAATGAGAAAGAAAAAGAGACAGAATGAGAAAAACAAAAAAAGCTAGACAACTGACAGATGGTATAATAAAAACACTACAAAAAAAAGATAGAAAAAGAAAAGGAAAAAGAATAAAACATGTTGGTATGAGAGGGAAAATATACAACCGTACGAAGAAGAAAGAACAGAGAAATGGCAACAAAAATTTAGAAAAGATTCGTAAAGAGATGAAAGAGACAGATTGTGAAAATGAATTTACCTTCTCGATACAAAAAATTAAGAAAAGATATGTAATAAAAATGGTAGAAAGAAGAAAGAATGAAGGAAAAAACAAATAAGAAGTTATATAATAAAAGCAATAACAAAGTGAAAAAGAAGAATGGCAAAAATGTAACGAAGAATCGGAAGTCTAATGTAAGGAGCAACGAAGAACAACCAAAGATTAGAAAGAGGGAGAATTACGAAGGACGAGAAAGAACGAGAGAGAGAGAACTCGACTGAAGAAAGAGAGGGAAAACAGGGAGTAACGTTGCGGACTATCGACCCGATCCGGTTGGGCGCCTGCGCTCTGGCAACCCCTTCTACCGTCGAACCGTCTCGCCGGCGACGCGGCGCTCTACGCAACGTCGTTGGTGCGATCGGTGCGACGGTGAGACCAGTGCCTCTCACGATTCCGTTCTCGCTCTGCCCTCCGTCTCGTTATTCCGTTCGTACAACGCGTCTGAGTGTTGCTTTGCATCGTTACTTGTAATATATAACGTTATACTATATACATATTATATATATATCTACTTATACATATATACGTATATATCTATCTGTCTATCTATTTATCTATCAATTTATCTATCTATCTATCTTCCTTTCTCTCTCTCTTTCTCTCAAGTCTCTCTTCTTCTTTCTTTGTCTCTCTATCTCTCTCGTTTTTATTTCTTTTTGTCGATTGCCTAGATTAAACCAGCCAAACGTTAGCACAAGTCGTTAATGCTCTTAGAAAAAATACCGGAGAGACGCATAAGAAAAAGAGAAAGAGAAAAGGGAGGGGAGAGAGAGAGAAAGAGAGAGAGAGAGAGTGTACTCAACCGAAAGACACCGGTACATAACGAACGAACGTTGTTTTTTCGTGCTTTTATCTTTATCGTGTATCGTCGTGTGTGTCGCGTTTAATCTACGGCCCCTACCGACTAAGGCCGCTGTCTCCGTTCCGGAATACACACGCGTTATCAAATGCACGCACGTACGCACGCGAAAAGATTGCTTCCGGATGCAGTGAATTTCAGCCGGTGAACATCACGCCGGGCCAACGCTCTAGACTGCACGATCCACCAGCGAATCATTATTACGAGATAACCATTCTTCTGGATAATTATCATCGCCAAATAAGGTGAAAGAGATAAAAAAAGAGAAGAGAGAGACAGGGAAAAATACATGCGAAATTGAAAATTGAAAAAGAAGAGGAAAACAAAAATATATTGCTCTGCAGGAAGAAAGCAGAAACCTTAACAACGAAGACGATGGAGTGGTAGGCTTCGAATACGACCCACCCCTAACCTTGCTTCCTGCAATCTATCCGTTTTCTTCTATCCTCTTGTTTTTCATTTAATTTCGTTTAATCCTTTTCTTTATTTTTCATTTTTGATTATTATTCTATCACATTTATAATTAATTATCAATCTGACAAAATTTTGATAAAATTATCGTATACGCGATTTTTTGTATTTTTTTTTTTTTTCATATCTTTTTATAATTTTAATATATCGAATAAAACATAATTGACTCCTGCCTTTTTACAACAATCTGAGTCAAATATCACTTATCTTACTTATTTTATCTTTCACTAGATCTATCATATAAATAGATCCTTTATATTAATCACCAATAAAATCTAAAAATCATTTAAATTTATTCTATGAATGAACACCTATTTTTTATTAATCAAATGAATATTTAAAAATATTATAATTCAGTTCGAATATAAGCAGACACAAAGAGTTAAAGTTCCGATAAAAATATATCTTTGGACGAATTGTTATAGACACCTACTACTTTCCTTTTCTTGTCTTTTCCACTTTATCTATTATATGATATTGACACACACATTATTTCTCTTTCTCTGTCTTTCTTCTCCACTCTCTCGTTATGGCATCGCCACGCTGGCGGCTCGTACACCGACGTTCTACATCCATTACTTGCACGCATGCACTGAATACGCGCGCGCGCGCGCGCACATACACGTCCTTCATCCTCGTGCACTTGTACATATGTGCGCACGTATACTCAGACGGAGCACAAGCCGAACATCCGATCACCGTTCGCGAATACTTCCTTGAAGGGAGAAGGAGCAGGAGTAAAGCCACGGGTGGCAGAAGAGGAGGAAGGACAGTGGAGGTAGGAGAAAGTGGTAGAACGGAGGTGGTAGAACGGAGGTGGTGGTGGTGAGGAAGAGAAGAGTAGAAGAAGAGGGAAGTGAAGCAAGTGTAGCTGCATCGTTGACACCGAGGAGCCTTTTCCTCGGGAGGAAATCAACCTGGCCTGACGACTGTGTCTGTCGTCTAAACGGCCCCGTCGCTACTGCAGCGGCTGTGTGTCACTACTGTTCCACTGCCCCACACACCGCGGCCTCATGATTGGTTCATTCTGGAACCTCTGTCGTGCGTGCCCTTCAATGCCAATTGACAAGGTGAGAGAGAAATTGACCGGAAGATTATCGTATTGTTCCTGAATCATCTTGAGAATATATTAGATAGAAGAAGTTGGATAATTTAAAGAAAATTTCTTTTCAAGTATTTCAGATAATATCTGTGAATGTCATCGAAACATAGTAGAGCAAAATTTAGCTATATTTTTCCCACGCTTTTTCTCAATGATATCACAATCAGGAAACTTTCAATAGCAGTGTGATTCTTGATCGTTTAGACAGATAGTTGAACGTATAGACAGATAAATTTCTATAATCATTTTTTTATGATTCTTTACGAAAAAAAAAAAAAAATATCTTACAATAAGTTTTTTCCTCCATGATTTTCTTCGATAATTTGACTATTGGGATTCTCATCTTGCTTTATATTTTATTTCGACAATTTGATATTATTTGTACATTAAAATCTCTATATGTGATTGAAATTTAAAAGAAAACAGTTTATTAGATGAAAGAAAGATGATGACAACCTATTTTCTAATCGATGTCAAAAACAAAATTATTTGTAATACGAAGATATTTATATATCATTGATATATATTATAAAATATTCTAAAATATCGATAAATGGTAATAGATTTTCTGATGAACCATTGATTTGTACTGTTTCTCCTTTAATTATTCATTAATTACTTTTGTGGAAAATTCCAAAAGATAATAGAACAAGCTATTTCATCGAACCGTCCTATTAGTTTTATGTGCGTAGCTTTTGTTTAGTTCGCATTCGTGGAAACCGTTTTATAGCTTTATCGATCGTTCCTTCAAAAACGGAGCTTCTTTTATTCGTTTATTCCCAAGATAACGCGTGTTTCTGCAACGCGGTATATTTCGTCTTTCTTAAATTATTCTGATATTATTAATTGATTAATCTTTCTTATTCAAATTATATTTTGTAATTTTCAAATAAAAAATTTCCATTGTAATAATAAAAAATATGAAATTACATTTTATAATTGTATAATATATAATTGTAGGTATAAAATCGTGTCTCACAATTTCTTGTTGTGTCTTCATATTTCAAAATGCTTCGATGACATTCGAAATCGATAAAACATTCGTATATCTTATGTATAAAAAAACTCGAGGACTTTTGAACAATTTCTTCGAGGAAATACATCCAGCGGATACACAAATATGTGTATATAGTCTGAAAATCGAAGATGTCAATAGGTTGGTTCGGTTTTTCAATCGATTTATTCAAGTAGGTATAGAAATTCTTTGCCAGATTTGAGATGTTTCTTTTTATGTCGAGAAACTTGAAAAATATTTCGTAAAAAAAAGAATCGATATACCTTCAAGTCAATAAATAGCTAAAAATAAAAATCATGATTCGACAAGTTATAGATATCATAAATAAAAATCATTATTGGTTAAAAGAATCAATCAATCGTATATGCATTATCAGAAATGGGCAATACGAATTTGGACATTGATCGATGGGGATGCGTTTGCACGAAAATTATCTCGTGAATGTATTTTACTTATCCAGTAAATATTTTGACTATTCCTATAATTCACGATATCATTTGATTATTAACAACATTTTGGTAAGAATTAGTTCGAAATTAATTATTCGACTGCAAAATATTCATTCTTAAAGTTTACATAGATAATATATTTGAGACAAAATTTATTTTCATTTTTTCATTTATTTTAGAACTTTGATTGACGAGCATAGTTCGTTATTCCTTGGTCTTCCACATTTCGACTTTTTATTTTTTCCCATAATTAATAAAAATGATTGATGGAATACAATTCTTGATTTTCATATCTCATATCATTGATTTCATACCATGGATTACTTTCGATGCAAGAATGGGAGAATAGAAAAAGATTCGTAATGCGGTTTCAAACTATGGCTCATAAATCTTGGAACAGGAGAATTACCATGTTCTCAATAACACGATGATCTAATACTTCTATTTGACTTCTTTTTTTTTGTTTTTTATGATTATGATTATAATATCAAATTATAAACACCAAATCATATCAAGATTATTAATATTTGATGTAACAAATTTTTAACAAATAAAAATCTATTTCATTTATGACCTCGTATTTATAGAGTCAAAAATTTTCATCAAATATTTTTCATCGAGAATTAAATAATAAACGGTATTAAACGAAACGTATAAATCTCGAACAAGGTTAAAACTGCTTAGAACTGAATAGTTGCGGTTTGAAGAAAATGTTAATTCTATTCTAGCAAATCAACTCTAATTCTCTCTATTTGTTTCTTAATGAACGGTACTTCATTCATCATATCTCTTTTTAATCTATTTTACAGAGAGAGAGAAAGAAAAAGAAAAGAGATAAAAAATCGAGAAGAAATAGATTAATAACTCGTAAATGAGGATTATACTCTGTAATTATACATCTCATTGTATTCGGTCACGTGAACAAGACGATTGTAAATGTTTCATCGCAGAGCACTTCTATTTAAGAATTGTTCATAAACTTAAAAAGAAAATTTTGAGATGATATAGTTTCGAAAAGTGTATAAAATCGTTTTCCTACTATTCTCATCTCTGCTTATTTCTATAATTTTTTTCAATGAAAAGAGCCTCATTTTATCATAGCGATAAATATTTTTTTCTCTCTCTCTTTCTTTATTTTTCTCAATTTCGGTTTCTATTTTTTCATCTATTCAAAAATATGCGTATTTCTATTTTTTACTACCGATTAGCCGATAAAATTAATTTAATATCAAATCGTAACATACAGAAAACAATAACAATTGGAATAAGTATTTAATTTTTCGATAATGTTCTTTGTTTTTCTTTTTCATCTCACTTAGAAGAAATTTAATTTTTTAGGAATATGCAGCCTATCAAATTTTCTACGAATATGTTTCCACTAATCATTTTATCATGTTGTTTTAATAAAATTAATTTTTTCGAATTATGAAATTAGGATCGTATTTGAATAAAAAAGAAGATCGTAGATGAATAAAAAAAAATTGCACATTTACCCTTACGATTATATTAATCATTAATTTCAAATTCGAACAATATGAATCTATGTTATGTAAGAGAAATGATTTAAATTGTCTATGATATAAATTGATTTTCTATAGAAAAATTAAAAATTCAATATGTAAAATACGAAATTACATGATAAGTTTTCTTTCAGCCATAAAATGAAAAATTATCGCCCATTTGTCAAATGGTATATAACGTCCAATATAGAAGTGGCCAAATGTTTTAAGGTCGATCAAGAAGATAAGAAGCAGGCTATTCAGAATGCAGCATAGGATCGAATTCGAGCAATGTTTTGTCCTGTCACCTTTGCTACAATCGTCTAACGTAATTCGCGTGGCTAAGCGTCATGAAAAGTGGAAGGAGAACACCAGCACTGCGCCATTCTTCGTTCGTCGATATGCACTATCACGTGCACCATTCTTCTGTCGGACGTACGTTGACTTTTACTACTTGGTCCGACCACGGCTGCAATGCGCAACGCCGGCTAAATTAGACGAAGGGTTCGTGAAACGACCCTTTCTCTAGTCACAGTAAATGGGATAATAAGCTTCATTCACGTTAGGGGCACGTTATGGAATACAATACTAGGGAAAATTTCTTCCCTTTTGTTTGACATTTTGAACACAAACATTTTGAAGTTCAAATAATTGTATTTTTTTATTTATAATTCTATTCTATTTAAAAATACGTTACGTTTATATATTTTTTAATGTCTTATACATGTTTACAGATCTATGTTAATTAATTGATTCATAAAGAAACAACGTTAGATAAAAAAAAAAAAGAATATTTTACGTATAGATAACGGATAGATAGAAATCGGACTATGGATGTTTCAACTTCGAATATAGAGCTAAACTTCGCGTGTACGAGATTCATTATTTTCACTTGCAAAATTAACCTCAAAAACCTCGATATTTATCAAGATCTTTTCCAGGAATTATTTAATGTTTCAAAAGAGAACGAAATTAATCATTACTCTTCAAAAATCAAAAATTTCCCAAATATCTTGGACAAAATTTGTCCATTTCTAAGATAAAAAAAATCTAACCTAAATGAAAATAAGTTCACCCCGAAGCAAAGCAGGACAGGAGATATTAGGTCGTCCATGACAGAAGAAACCAAGACAGAGAAATGCGCGAACAGCAAAGAAGAATACAAGCTGTCTCGATGAATTTGACTTTGACACGCAGTATTTTACCGTTTGTATGCAGCTGACACGAAGAGGACGGAGTAGTAGGAGAATACCGGCATTGCGCCACTGTTTCTCCTTCATCGATATTTTCGGTTTTCGACGAGCGATAATACGTTGACTCCTACTACTCGGTTATATACCCCTGAGCATAGTTTACAACGCGCAATCGTATTGATAAGCATGTATGTAGGGTTGCAGTTGACCAATTCAACGGGCCATGTCTCTGTTACGTCACTAACCATGTCTGTTACGTACTAACTACGGTGCAGTTTTCTTCCTTTCCATTTTTTTCTTCTTCCTTTTCGTCATTTTTTATTTATTCTGCTTGGCAAACGGCGTGGAACCGATCGTTATGCTTTGCAGACTTTTCTTTACGCTTTAAAAGACCGCTACACGTTTCTTTTCCTCTTTCCTTTACTATGTATATAATTTGATAAGTGTAATATGCAATAGAATGCGGTATATCGCGTAATATTTTGTTTCTATTACTTACTCAGATGAGAAGATTTAAAAAATGTATCGAATATTCTATGATTTTTATTATTTTTGCATTATACAGAACATTTTTTGCAACATTTTATAATAGAATTTTATTTTTTGATAAGACAAAGAGTTAAACTTTTAATACACGAAATTTATAAGAACAATGATAAAAATAAAGATCCAAAAAATTCACTTATAATGATGATATATGATAATAATGATATATATAAAGTATACGTATACATATTATAGTCTTAACCTTGATTTAACCTTCACTTCCGTTAAAGACGAAAGTATACGTATTTAACTTCACTATTCATACA